TCTTATAAATATACATTTCAAAATTAATTCCACACTTACCATTTTTTAAATTAATTTTATCTTCTCTCCGACAAGCGTTTATCCATTGCTTTGTCAAATTTTCTTCCTTTGGAAAGCTAAAGTATTTTATTTTCGTACCTTTTGTAATTTGCTTACAATTGTTGCACTTACACACGGCACAATTAGGCATTGTAAATTTACTACAGACTCACAAAATACAAAAAACAATACAAATAATAAATTGGGAATCCAACACGTTAATAATAATGATAAAAAAGTAAAACACAACAAAATATTCTCTCCGTTCCGTAAAAATATCATGTAAACAAAGCACTTGCAAGTCAAATAGCAAGTGTTGCTCCTCGTATCTGACGTCATGCGCGATTTTGATGGAATTACGTATCAATAGTGGCATACCGTGTCTGTGTGTATCGTGCCACGAACTAAGCTGGAGTTTAATGGTATAAGATTATTCATGGCAATTAAAAATAACGTTGCGCTTATTACAGACCCCTGAGGGGTGCCATTAGCTTGACGTCTTGTTGAAGATGTGCAGTGGTTGACTCTTATTTGAAAATTGCGTTTAAGGAAATTTGAAATGAAATTAATTATTTTACCTCTAATATTCCAAATGAGTAATGATCTGATAATATCGAAACGTCATGGTGTGTCAAATGTTTTTGTAATGTCTATGAATATTGCAATAGTTTCCTGCTTGTTCGTGAAAGATTCAAGAATATCAGATTCTAAATCAATGAGGTTACCAGTAGTAGTTCGATTTTGTTAAAATCCACTTTGCTCGTTAACCAGAAGGTGATTTTCTTTTAATATCCATAGCAATCTTTTATTAACTATTTTTTCCATGACTTTGCACATTACTTTGGTGAGAGAGATGGGTCTATATGAGAAAATTTTAGTTCGTGCATTGTTAGGTTTGAGAATAGGTATAATTATTGAATCACTCCAGGAAGTTGGAAAGACATTATTTAACCATACTGAAGGAACTATTGTCTCTATCTTCACAATCGATCTGTTGTTTTTCTGTGATGATTTTGTGTTGTATAAACTCTTCGGAATAGTTGCTATTGCTGGAGTTGTTTTCGAAGTATGTAGCAAAAGCATCAGCTATTTTGTTAGGTTTTGTTATTACATTAGTATTATGAGTAATAAAAGGCACTTGGTAAAATTTGTTTTTGTCTGATATTTTTCGAATATTGGACCAGAATGTAGGTAAAGGTGTTATACTGTTTATATTTAAGACAAATTTTCTCCAGTTGGTTTTTCGAGCATTTTTTGTTATATATCGAGCATGTGCTCTCTGTTTTTTGTATTCAGTTATATTAGTTGTGTTACTATGTTTTTTCATTCTATTAAAAGATGCTTTATATTGCTTGATTGCATTTTGACATTCTGTATTCCACCATAGTAGAGGTCTGTGTTTCCTTAATATTTTAGTTTTTCCTATATGTATTTCTGCCGCGTATGTAAGAATATTCGTAAAAATGTTGAGAGTTTCATGTATATCAGTGTTTTCAAAACTAGATTTTTGTAATTCTATCTCTGTTTCTATGGCATCAGTGTACTTGTCCCAATTAGCATTTTTCAGGTTCCATTTTCGGACTGGTTAGTAGTCAGAGATAGTGTCATCAGAAAATACAGAAATTTTTATTGGGTAATGGTCGCTCCCATATAAAAAGGGTAGGGGATCCCAATTAACAGCCATTGAAAGAGTTCGGCCACAAATCGATAAATCGATTGCCGATGTTGTACCAGTATGTAGATTAAATCTGGTTGGTCTTCCATCATTGATAAAGTTTAAATGTTCTTCAGTTAACAAGTCTTCGATTAGTCTGCCTTTAATATTAAAATTTGTTGAGCCCCACATTGGGTTGTGACTACTGAAATCTCCTACTATTAGTCTGGGCATAGGTATTTGTGAAATAAGTGCTTTTAAGTCGGTTAAGGTGAGAAGTATATTTGGGGGAGTATAGATGCAACATACATTAATGCATTGGGAAGCTTTAACTGAGACACCTACAGCTTCGATGTCTGTTTTTAGAGGAATCGTTTGTGCTTCACGAGTATTTTTAACATAAATTGCCACTCGACCACTTGCTTTTTCCTGCTGGTTTCTATTTTTATAAAATGTTAAAAAAATTTTAAATATGTGGCAATATTGGTCTTTGAAATTCGTTTCTTGGAGACAAATGATAGCGGGGGTAATATCATTAATTTAGTTTTAGCATTTCATAATGGGTATAAAACCCATTTATATTCCACTGTAATAAATTGAATGTTATAATTATAATTCTTGAATGTTTAGCTCCTGGGATAATTCAGTCGATGTATCCGTATCAGGTTTAGCTTTGTACATTTAAATTTTAATAAGCGCTCGGATGTATATGAATGAATTTTGGTTAAGAGTTGTCTAAATTTTGGAATGTCTACTGTATATTTATTTATAACGCTGATAACATATTTTGTTCCATGAGTGTTTTCAAATAAATCAACTGTTTCCTCAAAAGTTAATATTTGCTTTTCGGAATTGAATAATTCTTTAATTGGTTGCATTAGCCTTTCTAAAAGTATTGCTGGTATTTTTGTTTTTATTCTTTTTTGTGTCTGAGTTGGTTTTGAAAATACATCGTCACTAGCTGATGTCTCAATCGGGGGTGATATTGCTTGAGATACAGTTCGTTTGGAGGACGATTTAGATGTATTTTCCTCGTTGGATACGCTAAATTCTTTTGGTGCTGGATTCTCTTTAATTTCATTAACCGAGAAAGAATTATTGTTTAGACTGGAAGATGAAGGCTGGTTAGTTATGATTATGGGAGATGATAGGGCTGATGAGGTGGGTATATTTGGTTTGGATATCAATGGCATTGTATTATGTGAAGTTGATGTGTCAAGAGATGGTATGTTAGTTGTAGATAATATTTTTGTTAGTGGCGTTGATTTATTTGGTATGTTTGTAGAGGTGCATGTTGTTGAAGGTGTAATAGTAGTCGTTTCGTTTGAAGTTACTGTAGTAGATTTGTTTCTGTTTGAAACTGTAGCAGTTGGGACGGCTGTGTCTGAGTGATTTACATTTACTGAGCAACTACTGGAAATATGGCCATGTTATTTGCAAAGGAAACATAAGTTGTCTAGTGTCAAAAAAATTCGATTGGTAGTATCTTCATGAGTTATTAAAATGGAATCAGGAATTGAGCCTGTGGGTGGAGATACGTAAATATGTCGACGGAAACTGAGTAAATGTTTGTATTCAGGATTGTTGGTTCCTATTCGCAAAAATGACATTGATGAAGTTGGTTTTAGCAATAAGATCAGTAGTTCGTTTTCTATTACCTTATGCGGGATAGTGGGAGAAACATTGGATATTAGGAGTCTTTCACTTGGAGTAATTAGTCTACGGACTTAAATTTATGTATTGTTTACAGTGATGAAGTCTCTGCTGTTTGAAAAAAAAATCATCTACGACTTGTTTGGTTTAGAAATAAATACAGATGCAATTGTTGCTGATTCTTGATGAAAAAAGAATGAGTTTTGGACTAACTAGAGATCCTACCGCTAACAAGTATTCTTCTAATTTAACATCATTGAGAGAACTAAAAACTACTGCTTGTAGCTTGGATGGATAGATCGGTTCTTGTTGTTTGCTGGCTGCAGCTGAGTAAGATAAAAGTTTTTGTGATGTGGATTGCGATAATCATTCATCGCTATGATTAGTGACGTCAAATTCCATTTCTCAACACCATTTAATTTTCCTAAGTACGGACCTGTTCCGCTTCGGGTTTTTGGTAATTATCTTTAACGGCAAAAAACTGGTGTCGATTAATGACTGGTGTTACTTATTGACGGTTTTATAAAATTCTTTGGTTATGAATTACTTATTAATATAAAAATATGTACTCATAGAAAATGCTTTTCTATACACACTGAACTAATACTATTATACTTGATGTTAACGTAGTGTAAGAATTCTATGATTGGTTTTTATAAGTTAAATTTATTAATTTGTCAGGATCGATCAAAAAGCATGTGTGCTTGTTCGATATCAGTGCCGGACTCCCAGTTAATATTTGATTTCACGTATAGTGCCTCTGTATATTCGCTTATGGGTATTTCATCCTAACAGGAGTCATCTCAATTGAAGCTCTGAACATGAAAATAATATTTCCCATCGGAAAGAAGCAACAATAAAATGGCTTCAGTAAATCAGTATGGACGCTATAGCGATATCTGATAATAAATCACAAAAGTGGAAATCCGAATATTTGTATTTACGGAACCAAAATCAAGATCAAATCAAATCTTAACTTTACTTCAAAAATACTTTCATTTTTCCATCTTTTGATTTGGTAAATTTTATGAACTCTGGGTGCGTCGAATACGTGACCTATCTTAGTCAACCGTCCGAAACTGCTACTAAAGAAGCTACAAGAATAGCGACATGTTCAATTAAACCCATACAGGTGTCTTAAACAAAGATACAGTGCAAACTTAAAAGGCTATTAGGAAGTTCTGATTCTGGATGTGAAAGTCTTCAGTTTCAATCATTTATTATATCTGTATCGATCTAAAGAATACAGAATTTCTCTTTTTCTATTAGAAAACTCAATATGCACATCTGAATTAGAATACGTGAATAAAGTTTCACTCGGCCATTTAATAATCGCTTTTTCCACTACAGTACCAAGGTTCTTGATATTAAATAAGAATTAAATAAAAAATAATTTTACATTTTGACTAATTTTTAGTAAGAAACAATAAAAATAAAAATATTTTATTTTCAATATAAACTAAATGTTGTCTGAATTATTTGATTTTTATAGAACTAAATACAACATTGCTAAAAAACAGGGATTTAGTATATTTTTTTTAAATTAGGATCATTATCCGGAACATCTTGGAACAAAGAACAACTACAGATATAGTTAACTATTTAATAATATTTGAAATAAAATTGCCGTTTTATTTCTTTATCATATTTTTAGGAATTTGGAACAATAGATTCTATCCCATGACATCAATAATAAGTACAGCAAGTCGATCTGCTGCCCACGATTTATTGATTACTGGAGATACTGATGGATATCTTAGGTTATTTAGGTAAGTACACTGATCATTTTTTTGTCGAGGCTAAAGAATATTAAAAATTATTTGGAAATTAATTTATATTCTATCTATATAATATTATATGCTAATATTTATAGATAGAATAATAGAAGAATTTAATAGAATTACAATGTTTTCTCAGAGGTCTTAAATCGTTATTTTTTTATTTCTCATAAATGTAAATGAGAACAATAAGTCAAATATTGATTTTTAAACCACTGTATACAGAAAAGTAACACCGACAAATATTTAAATTACAATAATGCAAATCACGTCAATTTTAAGAAGCTAATCATCAAATCAATATGATACATCCAAAATTATGTATTCTAATTAAAATATTTTTGTTTTTAATCGAAACCTTAAATCAACTATTCTTTGACAAATAGATAAACGAACAAATTTAAAAATATAGACGAAAAGAAAATAGAACAAAAATTTGAAAAACTACTTGAGAAATTTAAAAACACCATACCAAACAATTTTATAGAAAAGAGTGCTACAATAGGCGGTACTGTAGACTAGCGCGAAGTTTTATACTATGTTTTCTGTATAAATAAATTTGAAATACTAATTTTAAACTTTAATAAAGTGATTTAAAGAGGGCAGAGACTAATACAGTTCTGTCAAGAAGAGAATTGCATTATAGCAAATACTTTGTTTCAACAACCTAAAAGACGACTATATACTTGGAAATCTCCAGCTGATCAAGAAGGAAAGGTAGTCAGAAATTAAATCGACTACATTACCATTAACAGAAGGTTTAGAAACTGTATTACATATGAAAAAACATTTTCAGCAACTAATCATAATCTGCTATGTGCTGGATTCAAACTAAAATTAAAAAAAATAAAAACCCCGACAGCTCACAAAACACATAATAATCGACTCCTAAGAAATGCCGTAATAGTAGATGAGTTAGGAAATAAGATAAATCATGAAATTAAAAAACAGCTAGAAAGATCTGAACAAGAAAATATCGGACAAAATATAGATATAATAAATTCCGCCATGGTTACCATAGCAGACGAAGTTTTAAAATCAGAAAAAAAGCCAGTAAAGAAACAGGATTGGATGACCGATAACATACTAGACCTTATTCAGCAAAGAAGAAATTGTAAAAATAAAGATGAGACTCGATATAGAGAAATATATCGACAAATAAGATATGAGGTTAAGCAAGCAAAAGAGGACTTAATGGAACAGACATGTCGTGAGATGGAAGAACTAAAAAGAAAACATGACGAGTTTAATATACACAAAAAACCTCAAGAAATTACCTACACTCAGAGAAAAAGAACTCCTCACTTTATGAGAAACACCAAACATAAAATTTTTCTTGACTTAAACGAAAAAAAGAAAGAATGAACCAACTACATAAAAGAGCTCTTCCTGGATACGAGGCCACCACTTAACGCCAAGTATACGAATACTGGTCCTAGTATATTAAAAGCAGAAGTAGAGAAAGCCATCAAACAAAGAAAAAATGGGAAATCTCCAGGCCTAGACCAAATACCATCAGACTGGCTCAAACTTCTAGACGAAGACAATGTCTCAGAGCTAACAAACATTTATAACCAGCCACTACATAAGCAGAAATGTGAAGACCTAATGGGAAATAAACAATTCGGTTTTAGAGAGGGATTGGGAACAAGGGAAGTAAATTGGTGATATTTTATTGTTGTATAATTAGTCTCCTTTTACCGTTAGTTAATTAGTTATTTTACTGTTGTACAATTTGATTGTGTTAAGCATTCTACATTGATCGAAACTCTAAAAGACATTGGCTTGGACGGCGGAGATGTTCGAAAAATTGCAAATTTATATTGGAATCAAACAAAGTCAGTTTTAGTAGATGATGTGGAATCACAGGCTCTCAATATTAAAAGAGGAGTACGGCAGGGCCTCTTGTCACCTCTGCTTTTCAACGTTTACTCCGAAAGAATTTTCAGAAAAGCACTTTCTGAAAAACAAGAAGGAGTACTTGTGAACGGTGAATCATCAATCGGTGGTCATCAATAATTTGCGATATGCGGACTATACAGTACTCCTAGCTTCTAGTCAAGAAGATCTGCAAACACTACTTGATAGTGTCGTTGAGCGTTGTAGAGGGGCAGGTCTAGATCTAAACATACGGAAAATCAAAATACTCGTAATAAGTAAACAACAGCATATAAAACCGTCTATATATGTAAATAATACCAAACTTGAGCAAGTTGATAAAATCATTTAACTTGGACAGTGGACAGATTCGAACGTAGTTTTGAGGTTCGAAACGTTTTATAATGCCCCTTTGTCCGCTTCTTTTCCATCGACGTTGATAAATACAAGAAAACGTTAAAGTTGTGGAGAAAAAATATTGGTTTTATTGACAGCTACTACTAATTACACTATATGATGTTGTTTAGGTAACTACTTATAATGCAACTCAAATGAGCTCAAATCCCCAATTTATAATTTCACAAATAATGTATACATCAGCACAGAGGTTAATGCTTCTATCATACTAACAAACTTTAAACTATGAGCTTACATTATAATTTAATCTGGGCCGTAATTGCAACGTTTAGGAAGTTCAATTAGAAAAATATATTATTCGACAATTTATTAATAGGTGAATGGACTTTAATTATTAAAATATTACTCGATACAGTTTTACAATGTCTCAATTATACACGGTGAAACTATAAGTTAAGAATAATGTGAGATTACAAATTAAGGGATTAATTTGTTATCGAACAGACAGCAATTAAATTGTAACGCAGAAAGTCAGGGCGAAATTAGATCTAGGATAGAGCAGGCTAGAGCTGCTTTTAGAAGGATGTTCCAGGTTGTGATATAACAGATACCTAAAATTGGCATTGAGGATCCGCCTACTTCGCTGCTACGTGTTCTCGGTCTTACTTTATGGTGTCGAGTCCTAGACTGTGAATAAAATCGATCTAAATCGGCTTGAGGCTTTCGAAATGTGGTGCTATAGAAGAATTTTAAAAGTCCACCCAGGAGGTGGAGGGAGAAGATTCGAAACTCCACAATACTAGAACGTCTCAGCAAGACTACTGAGTTCACAAAAAGCATCAAGGAGGGAAAACTGGAGTATTTCGGACATGTAATAAGAGGTCCCAAATATAGGTTGCTACAAAATATCATGCAAGGAAAAATAGCAGGCAAACGCAGTCCAGGACGAAGAAGAATCTTATGATTGAAGAACTTGCGAGATTGGTATGGTGCTGATACAAGCATGCTATTTAGGGTGGCAGTAAATAAAATTAAGATAGCTATGATGGTAACCAACATTCTCAAAGGACATGGTCATGAAGAAGAAGAACTAGTCTTCATATCTTGTCAATTTTCTGTAACTTTTAACTTATATGGGACATTTTTGTTACACCAATACTTCTGGTTTAAGGGAAGTGCAGGTATTGCCGCCCACTTAAGCAATGTGTTGAAAGTGTTGATTTATTTTATATTCACAAACCTACACTTGGGCGGAATTATCCGACCATGCGGGTAATTGCGCCCAGTGATAGTATAATACCGCCCAGGGTTGCATTATATGAAAATCAAACACAAAGTAATTATCTTGCTCACAAACAACATCTATATATTTATTATGTAAAAAAAAACATATTCAAAGAACTACTTAATTAAAAAAACGAATATAAAAACATTTAAAACTACACTCTATTTGCAATAATGGCATACAAAAGTTTTGTGATTATCGTAACCACTGCATTCCTTATGCGCCTATTTATGGCAAACTCCGCATCTGTCCCACATTTCAGATTTGCCATATTCACCACAATACATGCATTCTTCTTCTATGTCACTGTTGGGATCATCGGAATTATGATCGTTGCAAATTTCCATTTCATCGTGGGATGAATTACTTGAAGAACTATCGTCAAAGTTGACTTTCCTCATGGCGCGTTTTACCTTTTTGCTGACGTTTTTGACAGAAATTTTTTGCTTTCCTTTCTTCTGTAATTTTCTATTCTCTTTCTGCTCCAGTTCTATTTTTTCTGGAGTTGCCGTCAAAATCTTTGAAATGCCTAATTTCCTACCCCTCTTTTTTAATTTATTTTCATTCATTACGCACAACGGTGCCATTTGTTCAATAGATATGTCACCTTGTCAAGCTCCGATTTTGATCATGAAGGATCGACATCTGCCTGAGCTTCGATGACTTTTGATGTACTTAGGTACATGATGTAATTATGAATAACATCAGGTTCATTTATTTCCAAGACTGCATCTTTTGAAGGTACTCGATTTGGTTTGAAGGTATAGGGAGTAATATCAGCTTCAGGAAGTTGTAGTTCGACAGCGGGAATGTTAGAAAGGGTGGAAGGCAAAAAATCTTTATCCGTGAAAATATTCGGTCTATATGGAACAATGCTGTGAACGATAGGATAGTACTCATTAAACTGGATGGCAAACCACATAAACTTAATATCATACAAGTTTACGCGCCAACCAGCACATCAGATGACATAAAGATCGAGGAGTTCTACGAAAAACTGGAGACCACAATCGCTAACATACCAAATAAAGAACTTACTATAATATGTGGCGACTTTAATGCAAAAGTTTAAAAAAAATGCAAAAAGACTTAAAGAATGTACTGAGGAAGTTTGGCATAGGGCAGAGAAACAAAAGAGGAGACCGTTTAATCGAATTTGCTATCACAAACAACTACTCCATCATGAATACTCGATTTAAACACCATGTACATCGACTTTATACTTGGAAAAGTCCTGGAGATAGATTTAGAAATCAAATAGATTACGTCCTCAACAATATTCGCTGGAGATCGTCCATTTAAACAGTCAGATCATATCCAGGGGCGATATGCGGATCCGATCATACTCTCCTCGTAGCTAAAGTAATGCTTAAACTTCAAGCACCCAACAAACAAAGAGAGATAAAGAGGATAGAACTAAGAAAGAAAGAAGACCTTCTACAGGAAGTACAGAAAAGTATGCCCTCTATTC